TTAGATTGTTACATTTTGGATGTAGAGCACAGTCGAATAAACATCATGCCCATTACTAAGGGATTAAAGACAATCAATGTGCCTCTCCATTTGTCAGTAACAAGAAATATATATATATATACTTTCTATCTATATATATATATTATTTCGTTACAACTATATGAAGCTGCATTATACTATTCCGAAAAAGAACGCTATTGTAGGAAACAATTATCTTAGTAGTCAGTATTAAAATGTTTATAAAAAAAACCAGAGTACCATAAGTTCTTTTAGTGAAAAACTTAAGAAAAAAGTAAAAAATGTCAACAAGTTGTCATAGATATGCTCAACTGTTTTCTTATTATCATTAGTATTCATGAAAAAGAATTGAGAATGCTTCTTTTAGAAAGTGTCATTGAACAAAAGAAGTTTTGTATAAGTATTTATAAATTGCCAGATTAATGTATCATAGATTGAACATGTTGTTTCATCGTCAAAGTGCTATCAAATAAGTATCAACTGTATCTATTCTGATTTTTCTGGTTACTTTTTCTTAATAAATAAATATAATAATTAGAATAGTAATGACCACGACTTGATTTGGATTGAAAGCAATAACTTTTAACTTTGTACATTATAATGTATTTCGTATAGGAGAATTACAATTTTATTTTTAAATTCTAACTTGTTACAAGTTGTTATCAGCGAGACAGCAGCGTGATGGTATGACAACAGAACAGAGAAAAAGACGATTTCCCTTCGCATGGAATCGAGTCATGCATCTCCTGTTTACCGGACAGTCATATTAACCACTGTACTAGAAAGGGTATCTTCTCTCTGTTTTACGACCGAACGGTTACAATCCGATCGTAACACAATGATGTGTTTAATCAACATTTTTTCTATTATAGTACGTCATTTTTGTGAAAATCGTGAAGGAAGATTCTAATTAATGTCTGGTGGCGTTTTTGCCTTAACCTTATTTTGAGATAAGCATAATTCTTGTTTTTTTACTGGTTACGCAAAACTTGCAATCTCTATTCTTCGTTGGTTCTTATTTATCAGTTTTTTACATATATCTTTCTTTCTATCATATTTGGTTGACCAGTTTCCGAACTTACAGATGGAAAATTTTGAATTGGTACGACTGGTTATCCACAATGGTCCACATTCAACGTATATGATGATATTATAGCTGAGACTTCTCTCTGTCTCATGGTATAATGGAACGAATGATCCACGACCGTCTCAAGATGAGAAAAGTTACATCACTTTGGGTGTCCCATCAACTGACTGATGAACAAAAGCACGAATGAGTTAGATTTTGTCGTGAAAATTTGGCAAAATTTCTTCGTGTTTCCTGGCGATTATGTGGTATTATTACAGGTGATGAGACATGGGTTTACCCTAGACAGATTGGTCACAAGTCAACAAACACAAGCTGGATTGGTAAAGATGAATTACCAACCACTATTGTTCGTCGAAGTAAATTTGAACCAAAAAATCGATTTTGTATGTTCTTTAAATCAAATGGTCCTATTCTTATACATGCTATTGACGATGACAAGATTATAGATCACAAGTATCATATAGAAAATTGCTTCAAGCCTGTTGTCAATGAAATATGGAAATAAAAAAAGTCATCCGCTACAAAGGGTATAAAATTGTTTCACGATAATGCTCGACCTCATACTCATTCAGATGTTATTGATTATTTAACAGAAGAAAGCATCAATATAATGCCGCATCCATCATATTCACATGACCTTGCGCGATGTGATTATTGGCTAAATGATTAGTAAATTCTACAAGTAATTAGCATACTTAATCGAAATAATTAACTCGTGGGTAATTTTCTCAATTCATTACTATTGCACACTTAATGCTTATGAAGAGGTTACTCTGAAGAATAGACAACTCAAGATAAAATATTAGTATTGGCTGAATAATTTAATTTCGAACCGACCTGCTTGTTTCTTGTGTCTATTCGCTTGTCGAAGAGAGCATAGAATTGCTTACTCTGCGAGATAAAATTAATAATATAATCATTAAACAATAGGAAAGGGATCTCTGTGTAACGATTTCAAGATCACTTTTTTTCATCCTTTCTTTTTTGTGAAAAGAAAGAAATCGGTTATTAATCAGAAAATTTTCACTGTGTCACCTTGCTTTCTTCTTGTTGAATAACTTTTTCCTCTTTCGCTAGCCATAAGAAGAAAACGAATGAAAAATCAATGTTAATGGCATGTTGAGATACAAATGTTTATGATTTTCTGATTTTTTATGTTGTTCGTTCATTTAACATACCTGGTTTTGTGGTCATAGATTCCGCTGTTAGTCTGGATGTTGGTAAGACCGATGGAGTACGTAATTCCGATGATTTTGAAGCATCTAAATCGCAAAACAAATAGCGTATGTGTGTGTGCGGTTATCTTGAGAGTATATAAGTTGCTGATTCTTTTCTTTTCTTCTTTTTCTAGTATGCTCACATTAATAATATACCATGGTAAAAAAACGATGTCAATTTATTAATGGAATAGATTTCCAACAAAACGTACTTCAATGTTACCTGTCTCACTATCATCAAGAAGCTTCGTATCTTATATAAAACGTATACAAACGAAACTAGAGAACACGGATAAGATTTTACTCATAGTTGAAATCAGAAACGTCATTAAGGTCTTCATTTTAATGGAATAAGCCAACTATTACAATGAACTTACCGACAAGATTCTTTGATTTACCCGTCCTGAATAAAGAACTCAATTGAAGCTGCTTCTTCAATTCACTTGCTTTTTGTCGCCATTTCAAATGCTTTTCCTTGTTGCCAGCATGTGATTCAATTGTGGCAAGATCCAAATACAAATCAATTCTTAATGGATCGTCAGGTGACAGTTGTTCCAACATGCGCATAAAATATTTTTGAGCAAGACCAGGCTTTGGTATCTCCCATAGTATTTTTCCTAACGTTCGAAGATTTATTTCGTCGGTCACAAATTGCTCTTTCATATCCACGAGAACTTGTTTTAAATCATATTCCTCATCATTGCATAATGTCATTTGAATGATCCACACTTGATCATTTTTGCTGTGCTTCACATTGCCCAATCGAAAAATCGAACCGATCATAAAGAGCACTTCAGCTTCATCTTCATATTCACTAAATTCACTAAGATCAGCAAATGGTTTCGTTATAGCCATCCTAGGGTCAGCATCGATTTCAAATAATACACCTACTAAATTTTCTGTGTTATCAGGAGCCTTAAGGAATGAACAAGCTTGCTCTTTATCTGTACTGGTAGAAAAAAATGAATTGATCGAAATGAATTGGCCACGGGAGTCTTTTAAAGTTTCTAGCTCATTATTTGATATCATTTGACAACGATAAACTCGAACAGGATTCCGAACTTGTTAGTTTTTCAATTGATCTTGAATATCAGTAATGTATTTACGAAAAAGAAATATTGTATGAACAGCTGGTTCACGAAGAGCAGCATTAAGTGTCTTGTAAAAGAATGATTCTTGCGTGTACCACCATAAAGCATTTTTAGATAAATACTTCTCTTGAAATTCACAAATATTATTCAGTTCAACACGATTACCTTTATATTGTTGTTTACAAAGATCAATCAATTCTTTTTTATCAGCCTCAGTGTATTGTAGTCGAGTAAGACAATCCATAAGAACTTGTGAAAACAGAAATTCACTATTTAAGCCGGTTGTTGATGTACCTGTAGTAAATATATTAATTGGTAGAGGTTCTTCCACCTTCTTCTGCATTTTATGATCAGCTTGTATTCGAGAGACGAGCTCGTCAAGTTCAACAACAACCGCTTTTACCTATCAATAAAAATTAAAAGCAAATCTAGATCATTTTCAAGTTTCGTTTACTTTTCTGTAGTCTCGAACCCATTTTTTGTTACCTTCT